GGTGAGGCAGCGATAGTGAGGGCGGGGCCAGTGAGGCAGCGATAGTGAGGGCGGAGCCGGTGAGGCAGTGATGGTGAGTGCGTAGCCGGTGAGGGAGAGACTGTGAGAGTGGTGCCAGTGAGGCAGCGCTGGTGAGAGTGGGGCCCATGTGGGAGTGATGGTGAGAGCGGGGCCGGAGAGGGAGCGATGTTGAGAGCAGGGGGGTGAGGCAGCGACGGTGAGAGCAGGGCCAGTGAGGCAGCGACAATGGCCTGGTGATTGGAGCGGCGCCTGTACCATTGTGGAGATGTGACTTGGGACTCTGAGATCTGGACTTTTTTTTTCTTGCTTACCTTTTGCCTCTGTTAAGTCTTTTAATTCTGGTTGTGTAACCAAGTGGGCACCAGTGAATGGTGACTTTGTGCACTTTTCACTGTAATTATGTATTCCTGTGCTTTGTACACGTGACAAATAAATAAGTTTATCTCTAGTTTTAACAATAAGAGGAATAAGACTGAGTGTAGCAAAGGTACCAGAAGTTAGCTGCAGGAATCTTTTCTCTCTCTCTTCTTTCTCTGTAAGGTTGCCCGCTCCAATTTCCTGCTGAAAGAGCTAAAAAAAATACATTCAGAAACACTGAAGAAAACAATTCTGAAGTCTTATGACCTCCTGAAAGATCTCGGGCCCAAGAAGGAACCAGTAAACTAAAGACTGATCATTGCTATGATGGTAACATTGAGCTATTATCAAGGCATTGAGAATTATGAAACGGGCCCAGCTAGTTTTTTTTTTTAACTTTTGCACTGGTGAAACAAAGCTCTGTTCTTCTGATGTCACTTTCCCTCCACTCATAATATTGTCTGATGTGTGTGTGTGTGTGTCTGTATCTGTGTCTGTGTCTGTGTGTCTCTGTGTGTGTGTGTGTGTGTGTGTGTGTGTCTGTGTCTGTGTGTGTGTGTGTCTGTGTCTGTGTGTGTGTTTTAAAGGGGTAAATTTTCAACAACATAAATTAGAACTTATTTTACTGTTCTTGTTGAGGTTTAGAGTGTTACAATAAGTGGTGTACTTTTAATACGTTAATGAAGGAACCTGGTGTGGTTTCCTTTTACTGTGAGTAACAATACATCAGAGGCAAATTGGGATTCATGGTAGTTTCAGTAATTTTTCACATTAATGCCAACTCTGGGAGTAGAAGGGCTTGATTCCCAGTGTACTGCCCCTGTGGGTCATGACAAAGTACAGTGCTGAAAGCACAGAAGGAGTGCACAAAGTTAAATGCAATAAAGTGAAAAGGCAAAACAACTGCAGAAAAATGGATACCAAACCCCCACCATGAACTGGAAAGTTGCAGATCGACTATTTTTGGAGACAAAACTTTTCAAACATAGACGGTTAGGCAAGGTGTGGAAATAGTCATAGTGGTTGCTAAAAAGGGATTACAGGGTGTCTGTGTCTCAGGTTTATCTGAAGAGGAAACTCAAGATCCTGCATCAATATGGAAAATTCTAGAAGATCAGCAGCACACAAGAGTCCACTTTAGAATTCATCACTCAGAATTGATGTCCTACAGGCAAAAGTGACAGGAATTAATAGATGATTTGATCATTAGATGCTGCAGGACGATTAACGTGACTTTCCAGAGACTGTACTATTGGAGTGGATAATGGCATTGCTGACTGCCTCAATAGCTATCAAAACGTTCCAGAAAGAAAGGTCACAGCATCAATTCACTCTCAGCAGAAGCAGAAAAGGTGTAACCGAACAACGGCAGCTGCGAGCATTAGGTGCAGGAAACAGTACTGACAGCGTAGCCAGGACACAAAAAGCAAGCAAATCATGTGGCAACAAGGTGCAGGGCTGGATGAACACAGCAGGCCAAGCAGCATCATAGGAGCAGACTATCTCTAAATCATGTGGCAAGTGAGGTCTACTATACCTGTGCTTCATTCCAAGGTGAGTGCTACAAAAGGGCTCTGGACCTACCAATGCAATAAATCTGGCTCCAAAGATGCAGCCTGAGGCCACAATAATGCACAACCAAACAGAAGACAGACACAGCAATATAGCAACAGCAGCCAGGAATATGTCAGGGATTTGCTTATACATAGTATTAACAGCAAGACAGACCAAGACAGGACCAAAGATCAACTTGCAAATGAGCTAAGTACCCAGTTATTGTCACATGAACACAATGTAGAGGCTCTCTTCACTGTCATATTTGAGGCACAGACTGTGCCTGGGAATTCCTCTGTTCTACATACATATATTAGTTTTCACAAGGCAATACAACAACATTATTATACAGGCTGCGGAGAAAGGTAGAAGAATGGCACTGGGTGTATTGCACCTTTGACAAACCAACACAGACATGATGGACCAAATAGTTTCGTTCGCACTGTGAGCAGTCCACAAAGCCTTTGACTGGGGATAAAAAAGGCACAGATAGAGTAGGCAAAGCAAGCAATGGCTTTACTTTCAATGCAATTATCATATAAATTACAATTATACATTACACAAGTGCAGTTGAGGAAGACTGTAATAAGTCGCTTCCCACTCGTAAATTTTCAGATAGTTACAAAAGTCTCTTTTGTTTTGACTAAAAATTTGTTATCAAGACAACACAGCCTATCCAGGGATGTACACACCCCTTTTAGCTGACTTGTTCGTCTCTGATACACAGCCCCACAACTTACAGCTCATTCCAGAAGCGTCAAAACACCCGCCAATGATCTCCATGTAGAGGACAAATTCATATGGATACTCTACATCGAATTCTTGCCCCCAACTTGACTGTTTGAATGGTGGACAAGAGATGTGGGGCTGGGTGAAAGGAGGAGGGAGAAGGAGGGCAATATGGAGAAGAACCTCTTTAACGCAACAAGTGACAAAGACCTGGAACCCGTCACCCTTTAGGACATCTGGTTTGATAGTCCTTGAATTCTAAGTAGAAAGAAAGTAAATCTGTTCCATAATGATCAAAACAAAAGAAAGCATTAATGCTGCAGCCATTTTTTGTCAGCCTTCCGTCCAACAAAACAATGTTTTGTGCTGTGGTGATCACTTCGATGTTTAGCGTCACCCTGGTGTGGCTCAGGTGTCTCATTCTGCCATGGCAGTCTCAGCCACATTTCCTGCCGAGGAAGTCAGTGGGCTGAGAAGGTGCACAAAACACTGCCCTCTTGTTCACTTTTGGTGACTTTTCTCAGCCAGCTGGGCTTTCCGTTTCTGTTCACCTCGTCTCATGTCCTTCAAAACAATCAGCCTCCAAAGGTCACAGCCATCAGAGATTGCCCCCCTAGTTGTCAGTGTTTGTATCCACAGTCTTCATATCCCACATGCCCGTGTCCTTTTACTGGAAATAGGGACAGCCAGAAGGTCATGACCCAGTACCCAGTTCACCTGCTGAATATCTTTGGGTATAGAGCCGTCATTAATCCAATGAACATGACTGAGCCAACGGAAACATAGTTGGTTTAACAATGAGTGTACAATGATGGATTTAACATGCTCTCTGTGTTAATGACCTTGTCTTATCAAGAGATGCCAAGGATACGTCCGAGACTGCCTTTATTTTCTTTCAGTCTTAATATTTTATTAACTCACAGTTGCAACCAGCAGTATCTATCCGAAAAGAGAACAAGGATTTCCACAGGGGAATTCTCCTACTCATCCTCTGTCATTTCAAAATAAAATTGACTGTACATTCATATTTGCACTGCCTTGAATCTTCAACTGATGTCAACAGTATTAGGTGAGCTTCAACCTGATGAAACTGAAGCATCACTTCCTCTCTTTCTCTTCATTCTAGTGATGTTTGCAACTTTCATAGGTGGTACCGACACTGTTCCTTCCCTGGAGATAACCTCTTTAGTGCATGTTTTTCTGGACTTTGTCTGCACTTCGCATATTAGTTCTCACAAACTTTAAGCTTCAACATACACCTCATACTTCTCCTCAAATGTCATGATTAAAGCTTAGCCACAGCTGAGGATATTTAACCATTATCTGACTTTTCTCAATTCCATTTCCTTTCTGATTTTAACTTCAGTGAGCTCCGGTCCCTGATCCCAGGACGTCAAGTATCTCAACAAAAGAAGACTAAACAGCTGCACAAAGGCAAATAGAAAGAAACATTAAAGTGATCTCAAGTTCAACATAAGATGTTTTTACAATTGTATTGAAATAGAATAGTGCTCTGGGCCCTGTTAAAACACACAGAGTTAACATTCCAATGAAGATAAGGAAAAGACATATAAGCAAGAAAATAGCACTGACAAAAATAATCACACTAAAGGCCGGTAAATCACTTGGAATTTTTAAAGATAAAGGTGAAAAAAATTAAAGATAGTTTCAACCATAACCTTTCAAAGCTCTTTCAATTCATGAACTGTCCTTTTAGATTAGAAATTTATGATTTGAATAATAGTTCCCACACTGAATAACAAGTAGGTTTGAGGGACTGATTCCTGTCCTGTCCTGTATTCCTACTTTGATGCAGAGAAGATGATTTTCAATATTCAGCCACCAACTAGAAAATTGCCAGCATGCCATTGAAAATTGGAGGTCTTCGCAATCACCTCATAAATGTCCTTTGTGAGGGATCGTTTAAGTACTTAACTCAGGGTTCTGTGCAGGAGAAACTGGTGTATGATTTGTCTCTAGCAGGGCAGCTTTATGTTGCAATGCTTATGTTATCCCTCATAATGTAATAAGTTAAGAAATGGTTAATATAGCATTGAAAGTTCCAACAGATATTTATCACAGCACACTAACATATGATGTGAAGGTGCTGGTGTTGGACTGAGAGGACAAGGTTTAAATCAGACAACACCAAGTTATAGTCCAACAAGACTATTTGAAATCACAAGCTTTTAGAGCATTACCCCTTTGACGGTTGAAGTCACCTGATGAAGGGGCAACACACTAATGTATTGCAGATGTTACATTCACAAGAACATCTGTGTCAGGGATAACATGAAGCAAAGAGTAGCAACTTTCGTCAGCATTATGCTTGAAATAGTCTGAGTTAAGATGGCATGTGAGACCATTATAACTTCAGGTCACGTGATATAATATGAGATAACAGGGTGTAGAGCTGGATGAACACAGCAGGCCAAGCAGCATCAGAGGAGCAGGAAGGCTGATGTTTCGGGCCTAGACCCTTCTTCAGAAATGGGGGAGGGGAAAGGGGTTCTGAAATAAATAGGGAGAGAGGGGGAGGCAGATAGAAGATGGATAGAGGAGAAGATTGGTGGAGAGGAGACAGACTGGTCAAAGAGGCGGGGATGGAGCCAGTAAAGGTGAGTGTAGGTGGGGAGGTAGGGAGGAGATAGGTCAGTCCACGGAGGACGGACAGGTCAAGGGGCCGGGATGAGGTTAGTAGGTAGGAGATGGGGGTGGGGCTTTAGGTGGGAGGAAGGACAGGTTAGGGAGGCGGGGACGAGCTGGGCTGGTTTTGGGATGCAGTAGGGGGAGGGGAGATTTTGAAGCTTGTGAAGTCCACATTGATACCATTGGTTTTCAGGGTTCCCAAGCGGAATATGAGTTGCTGTTCCTGGAACCTTTGGGTAGCATCATTGTGGCACTGCAGGAGGCCCAGGATGGACATGTCGTCTGCGGAATGGGAGGGGGAGTTGAAATGGTTCGCGACTGGGAGGTGCAGTTGTTTAGTGGGAACCGAGCGTAGGTGTTCTGCAAAGTGGTCCCCAAGCTTCCGTTTGGTTTCCCCGATGTAGAGGAGGCCACAACGGGTACAGCGGATGCAGTATACCACATTAGCAGATGTGCAGGTGAACATCTGCTTGATGTGGAAAGTCTTCTTGGGGCCTGGGACGGGGGTGAGGGGGGAGGTGTAGGGGCAGGTGTAGCACTTCCTGCGGTTGGAGGGAAAAGTGCCGAGTGTGGTGAGGCTGGAGGGGAGTGTGGAGCAGACAAGGGAGTCACGGAGAGAGTGGTCCCTCTGGAAAGCAGAATAGGGTGGGGAGGGAAAAATGTCTTTGGTGGTGGGGTCAGATTGCAGATGGCGGAAGTGTTGGAGGATGATGCGTTGGATCCGGAGGTTGGTGGGGTGGTACGTGAGGACGAGGGGGATTCTGTTTTGGTTGTTATTGCGGGGTGGGGATGTGAGGGATGAGTTGCGGGAAATGCGGGAGACACGGTCGAGGGCATTCTCGACCACTGAGGGGGGGAAGTTGCGGTCCTTGAAAAACGAGGACATCTGAGATGTACGGGAGTGGAATGCCTCATCCTGGGAGCAGATGCGGCGGAGGCGAAGGATTTGGGAATAGGGGATGGCATTTTTGCAGGAAGGTGGGTGGGAGGAGGTGTATTCTAGGTAGCTGTGGGAGTCGGTGGGCTTGAAATGGATATCGGTTTCGAGGTGGTTGCTGGAGATGGAGACAGAGAGGTCCAGGAAGGAGAAAGAGGTATTAGAGATGGTCCAGGTGAACTTAAGGTTGGGGTGGAAGATGTTGGTGAAGTGGATGAATTGTTCGAGCCCCTCGTGGGAGTACGAGGCGGCGCCGATACAGTCATCAATGCAACGGAGGAAGAGGTCGGGTTTAGGGTCAGTGTAGGTATGGAAGAGGGATTGTTCCACGTAACCTACAAAGAGGCAGGCATAGCTTGGGCCCATGCGGGTACCCATGGCCACCCCCTTTGTCTGTAGGAAGTGGAAGGAATTGAAAGAGAAGTTGTTGAGGGTGAGGACGAGTTCGGCTAAGCGGATGAGGGTGTCAGTGAAGGGGGACGGGTCAGGCCTGCGGGATAGGAAGAAGTGGAGGGCCTTTAGGCCATCTATATGGGGAATGCACATGTATAGGGGCTGGAAGTCCATGGTAAAGATGAGGTGTTGGGGACCGGGGAATTGGAAGTTCTGGAGGAGTTGGAGGGCGTGGGTGGTGTCACGGACGTAGGTAGGGAGTTCCTGGACCAAGGGGGAGAAAATGGAGTTGAGATAGGTGGAGATAAGTTCGGTGGGGCAGGAGCAGGCAGAGACAATAGGTCAACCAGGGCAGTCAGGTTTGTGGATTTTGGGAAGGAGATAGAAGCGGGCGGTGCGGGGTTGGGGAACGATGAGGTTAGAGGCTGTGGGTGGGAGGTCACCTGAAGTGATGAGGTTGTGGATGGTTTGGGAGATGATGGTTTGGTGGTCGGGGTGGGGTCATGATGAAGGGGGCGGTAGGAGGAGGTGTCGGAGGGTTGGCGCCTGGCCTTGGCGATCAGTGCGCCATACTACAACTGCGCCTCCCTTGACCGCAGGTTTTATGGTGAGGTTGGGATTGGAGCGGAGGGAGTGGAGGGCTGCAGTTCTGCGGGGGAGAGGTTGGAGTCGGTGAGGGGGGTGGAGAGGTTGAGGCGATTGATGTCACGATGGCAGTTGGAGATGAAGAGGTTGAGGGAGGGTAGGAGGCCTTGGGGTGGTGTCCAGGAGGGGGGGGTGTGTTGGAGTCGGGAGAAGGGGTCAGTGGAGGGAGGGTTAGGCTCTCACGGTTGAAGAAGTAAGCGCGGAGGCGGAGGCGGCGGAAAAAAGGCTCCATCCCTGCCTCTTTGACCTGTCTGTCTCATCTCCACCTATCTTCTCC